AAGATTTTCCGGGCCGTGGGCTACGGAGGAACCTGTTGATGTAAAGAAACGTCCCGCTGGCGAAACTCGGAAGAAAGGACAAACGTTTTCTTACGACGATGTCCCTTACCCCTGGTCGAGCTTCCTTCTCCACCTCTCTTATAATTGTCTAGGGAACAAGATATCAACTTGTTGCTGTCGGTATTGAGCGAGGGCCAAGGCTCTAAGGTTAGAGGGTTGGTTTTATTTTATTATTTAGACACGGCACGCGAGACCGGGCTATCCTCTTTCTCTTCTGTGTTCTTCTTCGTCTCGGAATTAGCCGCGCTTTATTTTGGCTTCATTTATTACAAACTAGGCATCAAACTATTATGCAGCGACAAGAAATACGATAAATCAAACTATATCATAGAAGAATATATTTTTTCTTTCGTTCGGATACAATCTCATTTTTATAAGCCGATTTATGCAACCGCACGTATCACGCAATGTTTGAAAAAGTTGCTCTCTTCCAGTAATTTGATCAATTTAGATCAGTAAAATTTCAATCATATTGAATAACACAATATTTAATCAGTAAATATTTGATGTGGTTCATTATAATACGATTTAAATACATATTATATATATTTAATGTTATAATTTAAATTTCTATATAAATTGATTATATAATTAAGAGACAACCTATTATTAAAGTTGATAATATTTTTCATAATTATCGCTATTTATCACAGAAATTTGTAATTTTATCAACTCCCTTTATATTTAAATTCGATTTCCATAAGCCGAAGTATTTTTATTATAGTCTCTAGATCGTAAAACATATACCAAATTTATGGTGTTTATTGCACGGGATAAGAGATTAAGAGAGGATCGTTTCGTGAGAATTTACGCCCAAGATTTCTTACGTGATGTCCTCAAGATACGTGCTTACTTGGGAACACTTGTTGAACATTGAGCTAAGATTGTCCGAGCTAAGAAGCCACTTGTTGCTTCGTCCTTCCTAGGAAGGAAACCTGGGTCCCGTATCAGGATACTTAACAATGATAACCGCAGAAATTCTACGAATCTTTAGCAAACCACTTGAATTTATACGTTAAAAGCAAAATGTTCTTTATACCTTATTTTATATCATTAAAATATGTCGACATTTAAAAAATTGTATTAGAAATTCTAATACTTTGATATATGATAGATTTAAATGTAAATTTCTCTCTGTGACTTTTAAAGGAGAAAAGTCTTTCTTATAATAAATTTATCTTCCCGTCATGATCGAAATATTCTATTATTGCTTCGACGATTATACGAAGGGGGCGTCTCCTGAGGCAGGGGCCACATGTTTCTAGCTTGCTTTCAGATACAACCGAATCTCTCGTGCACGATAGAGCCTTTAATCGAATATGAAGCTAGTTATCAAATACTAACTTTAGATATGGAAATACGACTTTATTCTCAAGGGGCAACAATGCGCGATAGAGATATATTTGACGTATAACATCCATAGAACATATGTTTAATTGTAAGAGAGTTATATTTGTATAAACTTTATAGATATACGTATTGATTTATTCGTATCGAGTCGTATATATTTCAGATTTTTAATCTGTACAAACATAATATTTTTTTATTTATCATATTAATTAACATTTTACTTTGCGTTTTATCGAAATCACATCGTTTAAGAAAAAAAAATTAAAATCTAGAATTTTTATATTTTCTATTTTTTTTGGCGCAAAAAATATGTTTATTTATATATCGAGATTGCTGTTTGTTTGCTTTTTGTTGGACACACACGGGAAAGAGAGAACGAAACAATTGCAACATAATCTGTATCGATTTGGTAACGCGAATTAATAAATTTCCAGAGAGTTAACACGTTGAATAGGAAACTTAAAAAAAAACATAGGCCTCGCCTTGAGTCTTTTGCGATGATTAGATTCTGCCACGTGTCTATTATACCATCCATCAATGCGACGCCCCTTTTTCGGATGCACGCGCATGGCACGCATATATGCTCGCGCCTTAATCACGCATAGAACGTAAGACGAGAACCTAAAAATTAATCTCATCGAGGATACTTCGCTTGACTAAAGCTAGTCTTTATAAGCTTTTGTTGCGGTGGAAAATCAATAAAAGGGCTCAGTTGTATTATTATAAAAAAAAAATATAATATTTATTGCAAAATAGCGCAGTATTATTATAAAATTATTCACAATCTCTAGACACTACTTAAAAGTTTGAAAATTATTAAAATGAGTTTACAATAAATAATAAATAATAAAATATAAAAATATGCAAGAAGAATCAGTTTGAATATTTTCGGACTCAAAATGCCAAATAACTAATGATCAATGACTATATCATTCTATATTTTACAAATGAGTATTTTAGATAGTTTTTCGTACATCACAAAATGATGCAACGTGCACAATGAACGACGCGCGTATAATATATAATCCATATCCAGAAATATCATGTCAATGCTCGAACAAGCGTATCGAGGCTAAATTGTCAAAGCTGGCTCTACCTAACGAGCGCGTACGCTTTACGCGATCGCAGCGCGCGCGTAACAGGAAACTAATTATAAATCTGTTTCCAACAACGCGTCGCACGTTATAACTGCTCGCAGCGCGTTGATACATCGGCGTGCGTACTTCTCTTGTGTGCGACACATTAGAAACTATTTTTAAGTCTATCAACGCACACAAAACGCCGTAACGCGCGTAACGACGACGGAAAAGAGTTTAACGCGGGTACGCAAGAGCGTCGAGAGCATTTGCGCACGATGGCCGCGATCGTAACGCGCTTTCCAGTAAAGGACTCCCGTAATCGTCTAATCGCCGTAGAACGGCACCGAAGTACGCTTCAATCGCGATCGCGCACAACACGGTTTGCCACCCCATCGCGAGAGGGGAATGTCTGATTGATGATTAAGGGGCGATGGACGGAACGAACGCGAGAGGGAGGTAATCTTGGCCGGACAAAGATTTTCATCGAGACATTCGGATTTGATTTTCAACCCCATCGTTTTATCCCCCACCGCGTCGTAGAGACAAGAGTCGGGGGTGGAACGCGACGACTCCGCCATGTCAGAGAAACGATCGACTCTTGGGCTTGCTTTTATCGGGTTACGCAACGTCCACGAAAACCAGTCGGCTAAGTTCTTTGTCTACAAAGCCATCTGTCACCCCGAAGTGCTCGTGTGAGGGTGTGGGAGCGATGCGTGGGCGGCGGCGCGGCGCCGATACGTGTGTTCGTCGCGCGTTACGCGTATCTCCGTGTTTCCCGTGTCTCTGTGTGAACGCACGTGTGTGAACGCTAGCCGTACGCCAATATGTGAGATACGATCGAGATAAAAGCGAGATAGCGCGACAAGTATAAGCGGACCTTTGGGACGTGTATTGAGTATTGATTTTCTCCGCGCGGAGCGTTACGCGCCACGGGTTAAGCCGAAACGCAACGAAGTTTATTAATCTCAGCGAACGCGTCTGTCTGTCACGGTAAGACGCGCGACAAGATTTCCATTTCGTTTCTCAAAAAAAAAAAATGCGGATTATTCGCCGAGGATTCGTAAAGACAAAATTCGCGAAAGTGTTGCAGCAATTGTGATTAATTTGAAGAGATTTATCTGTGTGAGATTAAAATTGAACAGTTATAATACATAAAAATGTACGACCTTGTTTAAATATATAAACTTTTCGATCCTATTATCTCTTTATAACGCTGCTGATTAAATTCACTTTGTAACTTAAATCTCGGAGCTGCATAAACTGGTTAACTCTAGAGAGTAGTGACGGTCCTCCTGGAAAGGAACGTTGGAAGATGGATAGGGAAAGAACGGGAAAGAGAGAGGGCACGGCAGGGAGAGCAGCTAATACATCATAAACTTAGGAACAAAGAGAAGAGAGGATGTGTCGCCGGAGAATCCACAAACTCCGGTATCCTCGCGACAAAACTTTACCTATTTGTTAAGTCTTGCCGGGGCCGAAACTGTCTCAGATACTGGCATCGAACAGTACCTCACACCTACGACCTCCTTGAATCTAGTCCTCCTCCTGACTTCTACTTCCTCGATCCTTCCCTGTGCATTCCAGTCGAAACAATGCACTGGATGCGAAAGTACATCGTCATATCTAATGCTCCGAATAATAAAGTCGAGTCATCGATGTCGAGATGCAGGATATTGCGCTAACTTTTTATCGTAGATATTATTTATGCGCATAGCGAGCTATCGCGCGCTATAAATATAAATAAATAGACATGCACACATATTAAGATTATATATAATGGGAAGCGGTTTAAAAAAGAAACAAAATTTATTATTATAAATATACGAGATACTTTTTCATACAATTTTCTACTTTATGTACATTTCCAATAAAATGACCCGTTGCAGGAAAATGCTTTTATTTTTAACTGTAGAGTATATTGCGAGGAATCTCGGCAGAATGCGGCGCTATATTTATATCGCCTCGATATTTATGCGCGATCGAAATTCGTGAACTTTGGCACGTATGACGCGAAGCAAAAGCTCGTCGGCGACACGCGCGCGTTGCATCCGTTGCATCTGTGTTGGGGATAGTGGCGAGCTTTGGAGAGAGGGTTTCATTGTGACGACAATATCGCCTTAGGCGGCATTGGCGACGTAGATATGCAAATTTCGAGGAGTACGGTTTAGCTCTCTGCAATTTCACTTTTATAGATTCGTTAATGTTTCATCATGATTTTTGAAAGTTTATCGTATAATAGTTTTTTTTTATAAAATTGTTATAGCTGTGAGAATTGTCCGAATAAAAGTAGAAGATTGTTAAAATGAATAAAAATTAAAAGACAAAAAATATCCTTACTCTTGCAAATTTTTATAAAAATTTAAAAAATTTAGGAAAAATTCGAGAATTGATCATTCATTAAAGATATCGTACAATGAAATAATAATGCAATTTAAAGATGCAAATGATGTATATTTATATTTAATTTAATATTTACAGATTTAACTAACAAAGTTACTTTTTTTGTTTCAGGGGACGGCACCTTTCGCACCGCCACGGCAACGAACAACGTAAGTACACTAAATTAACGCGTTAGAGTTCCAAGATAGAGAATCTCTCTTCAGAAAACTGTTTTTCGTTCACACGAGACAAAACGAGACAAACGATCGACATATTGTAATCGTGATAAATTCTACGCCAATGCATGCATATATGACTGTCGGGTTGGGGATTGACAATGTATCTCTGAGTCGTGGTGGTCGTTTCGTCGTCGTGCGATGTCAGTGATGACGCTGGCGTCCAATCGGTAGAAGAAGGATGTCAATGGAGGGGAGAGAGGTAGAAAGAAAAGGGGGGAAATCGAAGGGAAAGAGACGGAGACGCTTTAAGGTATATAATCACGCTTGCTGGCTTCTTCCCTAATAAAAATCTCACTGTCAGTTTGCTCCCGGATCGGCCCCTACGCGTGCCCCACGTTGTTACGATGATATACATACGCATCACGTAGACAAAAGTGCATATGCAACTGACAACGAAACTTTTACGATGCACTCTTCGCTCTTCGTGGATCGGAGATCTGGAATGGATCGGAAAAGAATCGTTGTATAAGAAAACAAAAGAATGCGGGGGAGGGATAGAGTAGGGTAGGTAGATATATAGAACGCAACGAGAGTCACGGAACCGGATACGGGTTAGAAATGCTTGCCGTAGCAGCATCTGGAGCTGCAATTTTTTCCAATCTCCTGACGCGCACTCGAAGACGCAACGTGTTTCCGCGTTTTTCTTCTCGCATGCATCCATCATCATCTTCGCTCGATAATACAATAGCGCTTGTTCGCGATTGTGTAGCCCGATAGCGGACGTAACGTCCTCCGATTCGCTTCAACAGCGATTTGCAAATTAATTTAGCTTTGTCGGCCGACTGTCAACAGTACGTTGATCTTCTACGCAAACAGCACAGACACGACGCACGCGTAATGTCGATAGATACTCAGAGGAGTGTCTCGTTACGATGACCGCATTGATTGGTTTTTTGAGGATGCCCATGTATCCAATCTCACACAGAATTTTATCATTGTATATTTATATCGATTTTATATATATATATATACAATGTGACAGAAAAAATAGTTAGAAACTATTCATTATTATTTTGCTCGGTTCAATGTTGAATGGCTTACTTGTATCTCGCAGATGAACAAGTCTTTCCCGATAAAGAAGCATTAAAGGCTATTAAGCGCGATACAAATTGAAAACGCGATCGTCCAGTCTGAGCTTAATTGAGGCCGACCGAATGAAAGAATATACGCGAACGTAGGGAGTGAAAAGAGCCGCACTATTCATTCGGCGGCGATTCGACCCTCGAGGTCGTCGACGGAAGGCGGGGGAAAGACGTAAGGGCGCCTCGGTGTCTTCGCAGCAGTGTCGATGTTTAAAGGGCCAAAAAGCGGTCGAGGGTCCTTGGCCGGGACAGGTCTCAAGGTGCGTGTCTCTGGTGGATTTAAAAGACCCTCACGACGGGATATGCCTTCGAACGCTAGGACCTGGCCGCAACCTGGAACCAGATGGCTCGATTCCCCACTTAACCGCCCCTTCTTCCACCTACGTGTCTTATAAACCGACCCGGCCGTCTGAAACGTGAAAATGGATTTTCTCACCCCTCCTTCCGCCGGTTTTCCTTCGCTCTTCGAGCGCGATCGTTCGACCGACAAAACTTTTTCGCTCCCGCCCCCTCACGCACGTTAATAACGCATCTCGATGCGGGCCGGCGTCGAGAGAGAGGAGCGCGTCGTTCGACATATGTTTCGGAAGTCATTGTGCGTCATGCGGCGAAAGACGATGTGTAGCGGTAGTTTGCGGGCCTTTCGTGAACGGTTTTTCTCTCTGCGTTCTTTCGCCCGTTCGTTATTAGTACTTTTAATCTCCCGTTATAGACGAGAGCCTCGAAATTGGTGCCGGATACTGTTGAGAGGATCGACCAATCTGCTGCGAACAGAATTCCGCACTTAACTACGGCCAGGGGAAGCACACAGGCATCGACAACAGTTACGTGTTTTTTTTTTCTCCTCTGATCGCTCCCTAATACTTTATTCGTTCGTCTAGGTATCTTTTTTTTCTCTTTTATCGTGCCTCGTGCCGAGACGCGACGATTTAAACGCGCACGAGCAGTGACTCAAGTGGGCGGATAACGATATGTAAAGAAATAACGTTTTTATGCATCATTATATTCTGAGAAAGTACAAAAATTCCGCTTGCGACCAATTTTTCATATTTTTTTATAGAGTTCTTTGCATCGTGGACATTGAAATATTTAACGCTGAAATGAGTAAATTATTTTGACCACTATGACATTTCTGTGTCTTTTGCTATTAATTTCTCCATCAAGATTGTTTTTATCAGATGCATATTTTTAGTAAATATTAATCATATTTATTATTGCGTCAGAAAAAAGAAATAGTTTTTTAATAAGTCAATTAATTTTGAATCACACGATTAATTTTTCTTATATATAGAAAATGGCGGAAATTATTTTTAAATATATCACTCAAGATTTTGAATCGTTTTAATAAACGCGACGATTTCATTACATATATGTAAAAATTTATTTTGACGACTTGTGTAAAGAAAATAACACAAAATACGTAATGAAAATAGAAACGCGTAAGAGAAACAGAAAAGAAAGAAGCCATGAAGAAGAGAAAGGGAAAGATATCTCTTCCAGGTGTTGTCGATGCCTGGAAAAGCTGCGGATTCGCTGAGCCACGGCTGGCACGCGCTGCGAAGAGACGAAAAGAAGGGATGCTGCGTGTCAAAGGGACGGGGCAGGTTTTACAGGCTCGACATTATGTTTACCACACGAAACGCCCCCGCAACGCCTCGCCGCAAAACCGGATGTCTCGTGCTGAGAATTAGCGAGATTTACGAGCGGCGACAAATCGCCGCTGCTTGCCTTCTCTCTTAACCCAGGCGTGAAAAGGCCGATCGAGATTGGCCGCTCGTTATTGGTAACGTTTAGAAATCGTTTAGAACGGGGCCTCTTTGAGATATATCGTACAATGCATAGCCACGTTGTACCTCGTTGTATCTCGTTTACCACTTTGTAAATCTTTTGCTCGCTGTAATTAGGCTACCGTTGGCCCTTCACAGTCCGTTGAGACGGTCAGTCGAGGGTACGGAAACAGAAAAATTTCTTTGGCTATTTCTACGATCACTTTGTCACGTTAACAAGACGGTTTTAGGCAAAATCAGAGCGATACAATAATGGATACAATAATGTCCGCCTAGGATTGTCCGGAGATCTTTGTCGATACATTGGCGATGCATTGATCCGTTGTGCCAATTATTCGTATATTTCGATATTGTGCAAAGAAAAAAATCGGCTATATAAAAATTGAATTAACACGAATTTACACGAATAGCTTAACTTGTATATAATATTTAAAGTAAGTTTTTTAAAGAAATATTATAGTATTATAGTATTTTTTGTGAAAAAAGTTTAAAATAAAATTTAATGGATGAGATATTTTTTAAAGATTTGAAAAGCTAAAAAATTTAAATAAACACAGATCTAAGTTTTTTATTTTTAAATATTGAAGAAAATCCTATCGTAATAATTAAAAAATTAATTTCTTAATTTAATTTCATCGTTCACTAATATAATGAAATTTATATCGTTAGTTATTTATATTACTTATCGTAATATAAACAATTAACGATATAAATTTCACTAATTAGTGAATTTCTTTTTGAAGCTTTTATATAACCTAAATCGCGGAAGAATAATAAGATATCAAATGCACACGCACACTTGCAAAGTCTATATGTAGATATCTATTAATATATTTAGATGTGTATTTTCCAACGGAAAGATATACCTTTTTTCGCTTTAGATATAATTGCGCGCGTGTATGCTTCCTGATGCGTGACAAATGCGCATACATAGTGGTATTCGGAAGTACATACGTTCCCTTCCGTGCGAGAATCGCATTCCCTGCGTGTATGCGCCTGCATGTGTGTGTGTATGTGGATGCGAATCGTTTCCGTATACTAATACCCCTACAAATCGATTCGTAGCTCCGTCACCTTGATAACCTCTTTCTTTTTTCTTGCTCGCTCTCCCTCGATGGCGTACGCGTCAAGGGAGCTGACGGGCGTCTGTGGCCAGACGGAATTTCTATGGGGCACCGGCGGGGTACCCCATGGCAGTTCCGTCCTCTAATGTGGAAGTAGCTCGTGCTACCTGAGCAGCTGGGCATGTGTGCGCGAGGAGAAGGGAACTCCCTTCGCGGGAGTTTTATTTTATTTTACCTCGCCTTATGGGATATCAAAGAGAGCAAGAGAGAAAGGAAAAAGTAAGGGGACGGCCCCATAGATAGACGCCGCCAGGTACCCCGTGGGTCCAACGTCACGCTTGAGAGGGGGGCCATCTGCCCCCTAACGAGTGTGTGACGTCAGGTGTGACGACGTGTGCTGAGCCAAGGAGCGTCTGTCACTTATGCTCTGCTTCGTGCTCTTTTTCTTTTTCCCAAATGCGCATCAAAATATTTTAATTATTTGCGATCAAAAATTGAGTCTATTATAATACGATCGTATAAATATCCGAACGAGAAAAAAACGAGAAAAAAATATTTAGTTTCTTTTTATAATATGAAAAAGAATATAATTTGTGATTTTTATAATTAGATTTGTAAACTCTTTTGATGATATATTTTGCAGAAATTACTCTTTATTAGATCCTTAAAACATATATTAAAAGCATTAAAAATTATTTGTTCGCGGGTGCTAAAGGAAAAATATAATAGGATATTTGATTAGGATATATTGGAATCTTCTAATACTATTTATTTCATATCACACTGCGCATAGCAACTCACTTTTATCGTAGTAGGCGTATTTCGTATCTAAACAAGAAATATTATATTATCTTTATCATATTATATTCTTTATCACTGTTATCATGTGGGGCGGCTTCTGGAGATATATTACGTTTTGAGTACGCAGATGAAGGATGCTTCTTCTCACAAGAATATTTTTGAAGATATGGGAGGTAAATTAAAGAGAAAGAAAGCTT